GAACAGCTGTCAGCCATGGTCAGGGCGGAGGGGGAAATGCTGCGGTCTTATCATGTCTATAATATGGTGCATTTCATTAGGCACAGAGGAAGCTAGGTCAGTGCTTGTAGACATGTGTCATGGTCTCAGATACTTAATGGAATTCACAACAAAACAACAACAGGACTCGGACTAATCTTGCTTTTTGACAAAAAAAGCTAACGTTCCAGCACAAAACAAGAACGAATAAATACAAGTTTACTTTGTAAGTGTAGGTGCTGAATGCAGGCTCGACAGCTTTATCATTCATAGCCTCTCAGAGTAAGTTGTTGTGGAAAAAGTTGTGCTGGTGCATAATAAACTGAAGTCTGGAAAACAGCAGCAGGGTGTTACAGTAAAACAACAATCTTTAAATCATGTCAGCAGTGCCACATGTGGTCAGGTTAAGTCAGATGCACCATCTAAAGTCCATTATACAAGCTGCAGATTCCTGTTTGTTTAAAAACTTTTTCAGTAATTTTACTGTACATGTTGATGTTTTGCTGACATGAGATAATAAAGTTCCCAGGTCAGATTCAGACCTTAGTCTTAGACCTAGATCTACATGACCTATGATAGCATCCATGGGGCATGCGTTGTTTATCTTACCCCTATAAATGATTCACATTTCATCATTTCATATTTTGCAGGCCTACTTCCTTTTTCTCTCTCTCTGAGTCACAGACGCTGCCACTACTGCATGCTGAGTATCTCCTCCCATGTACTCGCTGACTTTGACACATCAGAGAGCTACAGAGCCGCCTTTCTCTGAGTCAAAGACAAAGAGAGAGACAATCTGGTTGAAATCAAGAGACAAATATGTGGATTAAATGACAGGCAGTTTGGTTTACAGTGTACCTTTATTTTGTTCAGATCAAATTTCACAGAGAAAGGTTTATTATTTGGTGAAAACCAACATTCAGTTTAGTTGCAGTGGCTGAAAATAGTCATGATATCCACACTGTGAAACAGTTTTTAATCACATGCCTGGTGTTTGAATGGTTTCCTGCATCTTTTCCTAGTGCGTTCCCTCTATTCTCATCTGTTCATACTGTAATGTCAGACGGTTTTCACTGTGTATGCGTGCAAGCATGTGCCCACATAGAGGAGTATGCATCCTCCCAGGAGAGATTTTTATTTTATTTTTTGACAAACAAGGATGACAGTGTATTCTTGTGTGCCACTGAATTGCCACAGGGATGTTTCCTTCCATGTCCAAGCTGTTTCCAGGCCAGCTGCATGCTGGGTAACGAATGCTGAAGAACCAGCACGAGTCAGCCTCATGTTGGTTTACTGTTCATTTGCCCCCTTGCATGGGGATACGTACATGCACATTGAGAGCCGATGTACCAGAGTCAAATTCCTCCTGTGTCTGACACACCTGGCCAATAAAGCAGATCCTGAGTGTCAGGCTGGTGCTGCTTCTTAAATGCATCATGATTTAATGGGATTTGACACAGATGAGTGTTTTACACTTGGACTAATGTCTGAGGATCCAGCTGGATTAGACTTGGACTAATGTCTGAGGATCCAGCTACGCTATTTCTTAATCTCACATATCCAATGCCAGTATTTATTTTATTTTACTTTTGTAAAGGAATAAATCAATATTATAAGAAAATGTTTTATCACATAATAGTATGTGTGTACTCCACATACCACATATTTATACTAGTAATTGTTTCTATAAAAGCAAAGGTTGATTAACGGTGCTCACAGCTGAACACTGCTAGAACTGAGCACTTCATGTATGGGCCCCCTTTACGTCATGGAATAGTGTCTTACAATTTGGGTTTGTCATTTCTCATGAATTTGCTCTTTCTGTGTAACCCTGTCATACACTTTCGCATGTATCGCAAGATATTTGCGACACTTGCAAACGCAAAGGCAGAGTCACACTCAGAGAAACAATGGCATATCTGTAATGACTGCCTCCATGTTTGATAACTCAGTGATTTGTGACATTTTCTGGGAAGGACACTTCCTGTTATTGTTCTAAACCTGCTTTTCAGAGTCCATGAAACACAAGACGCACACGCACACACACACATACACACACACACACGAGGCCTTTAGAGGAAGCCGACCGTCTCATCTGATCTTTTCCAGATTTCTTTAGAACAGGGCAGAACTGGGGTTTCCAGCTCACTACCTGTCTGTCTGAGCCACTCTGAGCTGATCTCTGCCATGTCTACACACGCCTGAGCCACTACTGAATTATCCTGGAATGCTCCATATTAGTCTGTATTCCTCACACTGACTCCCCAGTTGATTTTAGTCCTTTCTGTCAACTCAACTAAAAACAAACAGCAGCTGAGAAAATCCAAGAAGACATTTGTTTTTATAAAGTGGATATGGAGAGAGCAGGTTTGTTTTGGTGGAAGTGGTTCTCTTCCTCTCTGGCCTTGGCCCCGTGCCGTGGGCCGTTTTATGGCCTGGCTAGTAGAGTGGAGAAAGGAGGCTGACTGGCTGTCAGCTGGATCCACTGGCAGTGGGAGCCTCTGGCCCAGGCAAGCCCAGACACTGCTGCCGGGGAAGTCCGCCTTTAATCTGCTGACGTCAGTCACTGACAAACCACAGGACCAGTGTTAGAGATTCAAACAAACTCAGTGCCCATTGCTATGGTAGTAAGGACCACCACCATGGAAAAAGCGTGTCCCTGTCTGGACTAGAGTTTACCATAAACATTTACCTTTTTGCTGAATCTAAAGAAAGAAGAAGGTGGTTCAGGTTTCCTATTGTCATCTACAGTAGCCATTGGCAAAAGTGAACAGTTTAATACCTCAAAATGAAATGTTCTTCAAAATGTATGATTCATTAATGGTAAGTGCATTATAATTTTGTGAAGTTCTAGAGAGCAACTGATCTTACACATAATATAAGAAGTGAGGGTGAGATTATACCAGTAAACGTCTTCTCTCTTCTGTTGTGTTGCACTTTTGTCATCTCTGGCTTCGTGCTCATTTTACTCAGCATGCACTCCTGTTGATCATGTATTCCAGATGCTTATCGGTTTGGGTCAAGGTGCTCGCAGCCATGGAAGAGCGACTGAATCCAGCACCGTGCACACTCAGATCAGAGGGAGGAGATGTCACTGCAGGAAAGTGACTGAAGACTGGATCAACTCGTTTTCCTTTCGTCACTTTCACCTGGGGTTTCCCTCAGAGCTGCAGAACAGGAACCACAACATGAGCAAAACCTCATTAGCTGGTCTATTGTACAGGACTGTGCTTGTGCAAGATTCAGAAACTGTGCTGTATATGATTGCTTCACCTCACCTGGACATAACTGAAGGAAATGCACCCAGCCACCTTCACTCATGATATGTAGGTAAAAAAGTTCTTTATTCCTCCAGTTACTCTTCGTTAATGAAAGAAGGATCAAAGAATGTTTAAAAAAATACTCATTACCATTCACAAATACTCTACGGTTTGTCGATCAAATAACACTCAAACCAGAATGTTCTGTAATACATGCCCATTTTAATAATCTGATTTTAAAAAACATTTGTTGGACACAGTTTACACCATTTTAAAATATAGTGAGGAAAACACTTAAAAAATACACTTGAAACAATGTTATATATTTCAGCAAATATTCCTGTAGCTGTACAATGACCCGTCACCGTACACAGTATACTGCAGTAAATATCCAGCCTTCATAAACTGCCGGGAACAGAGGACACAAACAAAAGCTTCTTCTGCAGCTCACTGTGCAAACGTCTCCAGTTGGAATTTCAAACCAAACATTTGTCACAAGTGAACTGCACAACTTCATGTTACGGTCTTGTAGCAAACATGTTTGCTGAGAACAATAAACCAGAACCATCAGACAGGTTCAGCCAAACTGATTTGAGATGTGGCAGTGCATATAAATAATAACAAATATACAGTGAATATTATTGATCAATACCAATATTATCCTGTACAAGGAGAAGATAATAAATATATCATTACAAACTGCTGAAGGGTGCAACTGTGTAACCACTTACTTTTGCACGCACACACACACATGCACACGCAGGAGATTTCATGTCATGACACAATACTGAGTCCCTCTTATTGTGAAGGTTGCACCTTACAATGTGGTACCATTAATTTAGTGTTGGACAGATCAGCAACCAGCTGCTGAACTGCCGACATGACCAAAGTGCTGGAATTAAAAACTGCAAAATACAAAGATCAGCTCACTGACAGGTGACTTTTTAATTGTGCACACAGTCTTACAGTCAGTCCGAGTTCAGAGTGAGTCACGGCAAGAATGGAATGTGTGTGTGTGTGTATGTGTGTGTGTGTGTGTGTGTGTGTGTGTGTGTGTGTGTGTGTGCTTATGAAAAGGGGAAATCATCAGGTGGAAACAAATTTCCCAAACTGGAATCGCCCAGCACTATATGTCGTTATGGAGTTTTTTTTTAAAGATATGTTCCATGAAATTTCACTTAATCAGCTTTTATTCCCCTGAACTCTTTATGGAGCGACAAGAAAGTGCTTTCTTTACAAGATCTTTGGCAGAATCTAATCTGTGAGTCATTTAATTGCTTATGGAGTGAATTTAAAAAACAAACAAACAGTTGGATAAAACAAATCTTTTGATTTTAGATGTTTACTATAATGTCTTCTGTAAATGATGCCTTCCACACTTCCTTCATCTTACCATATGCCACAAAGTGCAAATTGTGCTGGGAAGTCAACAGATTTTAGAAATCACTGAACGCCTCTGTGGGAACGAGCTTATACTATTGCCAGAACATCAGGAAGACTGTGTGAGACAAAACCCTTGTTTTTGTAGAAAATGTTATACTTTTTACAGCTAAATGAATGTGTTCAATAAATTATAAAAACACATACAAAAAGTCAGTCATAAAAAAAAAATAGGCACACAACTTGTTAGAAAAAAAAACTACTTGATTACAGAGAACTTGCTGACCAGTAGTTTTTTTTGATTGGACACATACCAGGCGGCACCCAATCTCGCCAGAGCACAACAAATCAAAATGAATGTAAAAATGTCCTGAAGTGCGAGTTTGGATTTTTGTTTTTACTTGTCCCGGTACATGAATTCTTATCATCCTCCTCCTCTGTGTGTGAGTCCAGGCTTCAGCCCTGCCTCTGCAGACCGACAGTAGTCCAACGTTTAAAGAACAGAGGGTACGCTTGTCCAGCTCCCTTCTTGGGGGGAGGGGGTGTCAGAAACAAACTGGCACAGGGTTTCCAAGCGTCATTTGCAGGAGTGGCCCACATTTAGTCAGGCCCCATCAACCAGACAGCTCCGAAGAGCCAGATTGCAGGATTGCTCCACTGCAAGAAAACGAATTCTGCCAAAGCAGACAAACTTGCTGCACTGTAGCACCTCTGTCAGTTCAGCTATGTTTCTGCTGGGGAGACGTCATGCACCGCCATTTCTATGCTAATCTGATCAGCAGGATGGTCGTCGAGTGACACACTGTCACATGATTCAGTTGTCTCCATCATTCTGTTCTCTCCATTTCCACCCTGCTCATCCATGGTCAGTTCAAACTGAAATTTACTCGCCACAGGTCCCCCCTCCGTCTCACCATCAGGTCCTCCTTCTCCATCGCCGGTGTAGAAGGGAGGGGAGGGGCTCTGTGGGATCATGCTCTGATACCAGTTCCTGTTGTCTTCCAGCATGTCCAGGATGTCCTGGGCATCAGGGTGGACCAGGTCGGCCCATGTCTCCCACAGAGGGTGGACGATGTAATCGATGAAGCCAACCTGGAAAAGAGAGAGGTGATGTCAATAAAAATGAAAAACAACATTAACTTTCTGATTGTGGAGCTGGATTTCTGCATTTCTCTACCTGAGTTCTCTCCACTGAAGCTGTGTGCTTGTCGCACATGGGGCTGATCTCCATTCCCCTCTCCCTTTCTCTGTCTCCTTGATGGAAGAACTCATCCATGATCCTGTCTGTCCACTGACGGTAGAGACCCAGAGGCTTGGTAGGGTTGCTCAGATCTGCACAATGAACCATGTTACGCAGAACCTGCAGAGAAAAAAAACCCAACGATTTAAGCATCTTGTATCTCTGGTGTATGTCTGCATGTTGTGTGTAAGGGCATGGCTCTTACCTGCATTCTGTCTGTGTAGTTGTCCAGCAGCAGCACTCCAGAGCTGGTCACCTTCTTGGTTTCAACCATTGTCTTCAGATTAGCCAGCAGGCTCATGTGTTTAGACATATCAGTTGCCAAAACCTGAAGGAAAGATAAGACATGGAGAATGATGTGAGAAATAATTTAGGAGAGGAGCAATGATATAGTCAAGACATCACTGTGAAAGCAGCCTCAGACAGATACGCAGACGTTTGCTCACCATGTCTATGACCATCCTCCGAAGCGTCTGCCTCTGCTTCTTAGTGAGGTTTTGGAAGATGTCGCAGTTGTCTTCCTGCAGCAGTTTGAAGCCCACGGCCAGGTGGTGGTTCTCCAGCACTGACTCATCGTTGTACATCAGAGCCAGCTCTGAGTCTAAAGGCAGAGGATGGAGGAAGAGAGAAAAGTCAGGAAGAGAGAAATTAAACTGAACTCTAGCTTTATTAAACTCAGGTCAGGTAACTGTGGTAACCATGCATGGCCTCTAAAAACCAACATTGTTGTTGCCTTTGGAGTCAAATGCCATTAAACCATTGCAATTATATCTGCCTATTTTGTGAATGTAGACTAAATAAATCAGTGTTGCTGCATTTTGTCACACAGTTACCAAAGAGGACTTACTGGTGTTGATGAGGAACTGGTTAGACACTCCTGGGTGGTCCACGTCATGAATGGCTGCAGCAAAGATGGCTGCCAAGATCTCCAGATCAGTGAAGACCGCCTACATTTAAAAGAGAAGGAAGAAGAACAAAGAGATGAGCTCTGACAGTAAATAAACTGCCCAAACAAGGTAAGGTATTAGACTACAGACAGACAAAGACAATGGTTCGAGGCTGATTCTCCCATGTGTCATCACTCCCAGGCATGCAGTTTCAGGGGCATGCCAGAGTCAGTGACGGTAATGTCAGTTACCTCATTAAATTATAATAAACTGTTTGAGGGAAAAGGCGCGGATGATGGTGCCACATTTAACAATGTCACAGGTAATTAACCTGAACCAAAAGTCAAGACATTTAAAAAGGAATAAAAGCAAATACTTGTTTTAACAAATGTCCAACAATACTTTGTTACTGAAAGTAGTGAAATTCTTGTCAACAGCTCAACAATTAAACCTTTGGATATGTAAAAACTTTCATAACAAAGGAACAGAATGTCAACTAAACAGATTTTAAGTCACTCACGTCCAGGGCGGGCGTGGACAGGAGGATGTGTGTGGACTGGGCTACGTCTGCAGCGTGCAGGCTGTTGTGGTAGGCCACGTCGGAGTGATAGTGGCCCTCCAGGGTCAGCATGAACGTCACAAAGGTGTCTGTTGGAATCTTGAATGTCCTCATCAGGTCTCGCTCCTGCATGCGACACAGAGGAAGAAAATGAGAAAAACAAAACCTTAACTGTGAGAGGCGAGTCCTTACAACACACCATTTGTATTTTCAGGCATCTCCTCTCAGATATATCCACCAGCAAACTAATGATATGACCTCTCAGATTTTAAACCATATTACTCACATTGTGAATGAAAAAACTGAAAATACAATTCAAAGCTAGAAATCAAATTCAACTGCTAATGAGCCTTTAGCAGATGGTCAAATACTGATACTGACAGCTGAATGTAACATGCTGAACACACTGATGTGGGTTGTGCCGCATGCTTTCTATAGGAGCTTCTGTATTCTTTCACACTTTTTTATGAGCTCACTCTGACTTGACAGGGGGATGCAAGATGAGGAAGATGAAGAGGCAGGGCACTGACCTGAAAGATTGTGTACATGACACATGTGAGCGGCCGGTTGTGGGAGTGCTCTGCCACCTTGAAGATATTCAGGCCCCATTTGTTGATATCCTCCAGGTCCTGTTATAGAGACCAGACTTTAAGTGTTTTATCCAGTAAGAGCAGCAATCGTTATGTTTTTATTTTGTATCTTGTTATTTTGCATAATCTGCCCATCACTTGCCTTCGAAAGCAGTTCCTCCTGGTCTGTCTTGACACCGAAGCGATTGCTGGTGCTTGCAGAGATGCTGGGTGTGTGGCTGACCTTCCTCACCCCACTGATCTGAGTCATCACCCCACCCTGCTGCTGCTGGCCCTGCCTCCTCTTTCGTTCCCTGGACTTGGGAACTGGGCATGGAAGCTCCAACTCATTCTGCTTGTCTAGAGAAAACAGAAAAGCATGATGAGAAAAAGGGATAAAATGAACAAAACTAGATTTTTCAGTTACTACAGAGCCAAAAAGACACAAAGCTAAGGTTTGGTGGATGAGCATCCTGGTTTGTGTTGTGAAAGGAACTTTGTAAACAATAGGAAGAGATAGTGGCTCTCTCACAACTATGTGACAGCACTAGAAAACAATCCCTCAGTCTTCTGCAATAAAAATAAAAACAAAAAATTAACTAAAATATTCCCATACATAGGTAATAAAAATGTCATAATGACATGAGGAGACAAAAAGTGCAAATGAGATGTTATGAAATCAACGCTCCAGCCTGTGCATTCTGAGAAACGGAGCCATGTTGCAATAACAATCCACAGAACTGTGGAAAAATGTTTAGAGGAGGGATTTGTTAGAATGCGGGTTTGTTTATGTGATTCAAGTCTGCTTTTTGGCTGGGTGTGATCCTCACATGCTGCACACAGCTGACGGTGTGTGTGTGTGTGCTGTGGGTCTGTGAATGTGTGCCGCATACACCGCAGTGAGAAAAAAAAATATCTCAGCTGCATCCTCCACAAAGCACAGGAAGAAACTCATCTCTCGACACTTGACAGTTGTCAGCTGCAATGCAGATGACAACAAATGATAAGCCGAGTTTCTCCCTGTGGTCTCGTCTCTTCCACTGCAGCACTTCTGTTGTTAGGATAAGTCTAGTTTATATGCATCCATCACCTTGTTTCTCTCCCTGTGTTTTCCTCCCCTTTATTAGCAAGAGCATAATGTCAGTGTGCACACTACCCTGGTAAGTTGGCTCTCTGGGTGTATTTTGGTGGTGAGATGAATGGAAAGGCAGAAAAGACTGGCTGGCTGTTTGCAGGGCAGATGAACTGGCTGACTGGCTGTGAGTCAACGAAACACCGAAGAGCTGTCTTCCTGATGAATAATACAGTGTCTATCTGGACCTGATGGCAGTGTGTGCACACAAACATCCTCTCTCTTCCTCGTTGCTCCAGAGGGAAGTCTTCCCTGAGTACAACATCCCCTGCCCTAGCCTCCCTCTACATCTCTGCAGTCAGAGTGAGGGGGCTCTCTCCCTCCTTCAGAACCAGATCAGACCAGTTTGAGAGCAGTGATGTGGACCAACTATAGGTTTTGCTGCTACACAGCACATGGTTTGGGGAACCTCGCAACTTCTGCCACAGTCACACTGAGACATTCCTGAAGGATGTAGGCCTATCTGAGCCTTACACTGCACTGGTGGACACAGTACATTGTGTCATGGTCTATGTGTGTGGTTGTCTGTCTGGGAATGTGTGCTGCAGTGCTCACCTAGGAAGGTGTTGGAGATGTACTCTGACACTTGGTTGCCTGAGCGACTCATCTCAGACAGGTGGCTTAG